GCCGAGTGCGGCACGACCGGGCTTGTCCTCCTGACCGTGCTGCACCCACGTGTCGTAAAGCAGGCTCTTTGATAAGTCGTATCGCAGGCCCAGCGATTGCGCCCGACCTTGCGAAGGCAGCCAATAAAGCTCGTCCACTTCGTCTCTCTGGATGGATCTGAAGATGGGATCCCGGSTTGCCGCCTGRGACACCGCCGCTTCGAACCCGTCCATCCCCGTCAGCTTGCCGGGCTCCTTGCTCCTTTTGATCGCCTCCATCGCCGGCAAGTACCTGGCCAGCGCCGTTCCCGGCTTCGCCCGAGCRTACGACTGGATGATAGACARCCCATCTCCAAATCCTGTCCTCCACCTCAGGCAYCCGAACGYGATTCCCTTYCCGTCGCTCATCCTCTTGGCGTAGCCGAAGTTGAACTCGGTTTCCCCGTTTTCTAGAACGTTCGTCAGCTGCAGAGCCCTCTTCTTCGCGATCGCCGCAGCCATGGTTGGCAGCGTTTCGCTCGCACACAGCCCTGTGTGCTGGCTTTCTCTGTCAGCCGCGAGGCTTAGCAAGCTGGCAAGGGGTCCGGCACGCAGTGGGCAGATCGCCCCTCAGCTCAGATCAGCTCAGCTCAGATCAGATCAGAGTACGATCCGCCTTCGTTGTCAATGAGAGATGGATGATTGGAGCCAGATCTGACGGAAGAAACTTCAAGGCGCCGTCGGCTTGATTTTGACTTAGTCCCCGAGGCCTGTTTGTCTGTTTCACCAGCCGTAGTCTTGATGGTCGTGGTCTGGGAGCGTGCACACCGTGGCACCGCCGTGCTGCCTGCCTGCTATGGTGTTCACCGGTGCTGCTGCCCCAGCAGGAACAAAGCTCTGTATGGATGATCGATCGATGTCTGCCGGAGCGGCGACAGCCGGCCGACTGCCGGACTTGCTCTCTCTCTCTCTCTCTCTCTCTCTCTCTCTCTCTCTCTCTCTCTCTCTCTCTCTCTCTCTCTCTCTCTCTCTCTCTCTCTCACCCGAGTGAGCCTACACGACCAAGGATCCGCTTCTCTCAAGCCCCAGTTCGGTGCAGAATCGGGGTCACAAGAGGCTTCTCTGTCTCTCTTGGATTGCTGAAMAGACGGCAGGCGACCCGTCAGAACGAGCAATGCCGTTGGCAGTACCTCTCTCTCGGCGAATTCCTTGAAGCTGGCGAGCTTGAGGGCGACAACGAGCTCGCTCGTTAGTCAAGCTGGCTTAACACATACCGGCAGCTATGGTTAAGTATATACCTTGAGCAAGCGCAGTTTCGTTGAGCTTGAATCTGCTGCGTGATACCCAGGGGAGCAACTTCCAACGCTACCTGTAGAAGGAACTCAACTGACCAGGAGGACATGGAGAAGTCTGTCGCTCCCCACCACACCCACCACACCCACCACACCCACCACACAATGCTTATATCTCAGAGAGAGCGTCACACATTTCCTCCCGCAGGCTGCGCTTTCTTCCACTCCCTCTGATCTCCGTCCCTCCGGCCCTTTCACAGGGGACATTCATTGACCCTGGGCCGCTGCGGCGGCGTTCCTCGCAGGCTCTGCAGCTCTGCTCATCACCAAGAACCCAGGCACAAAGGCATCAATCGCCTGACAGAGAGTTGCGTCGTCTCACCCGGGTACGGAGCGCGCACGTCTGAGGTTCTCTCTCTCCCACCAATGGATGGGCTCTGCTCCCTGGCTTGTCTGCTAACTACGTGACCCAGGCGGGTATTTGAAGGCCAACCGTGAGCGCGGCATGAACCGCGGGGATGGCAGGGTGTTGGCCAACGCAGTGAAGACTAATTAAGGCGTTCGCCGCCGCCTTCTTGTGTTCTGCGCGCACAGAGTGTGTGATACCGCAGCGCAGCCATGAGAAGGGACGTCGAGGCTCCACTTGTCAGCGTTCTTCTCAGTAAGACAACTCGCAATCTTATCTGCAAACGGATCTTGACTTTCGCCTCGTCTTGACAAGGATCCGTCCATAATTGCTGTCTGAACAGCGAGCGCCTTCCTCTCGATATTACCCTTCCTCAGGCGAGCGTTTGCTTGCCAATCCACGTGTTCAGAAGACCACGTGGCAGCCTCCTCGGCCATGCTGGATCTTGAAGTTGATCCCGTGGCGATCTCCTCGGGGGATCCACCGTGTGTCCGCTTGGAGTGGAGGTCCACGCTGGGCCTCCGCATCTCCGGTCTACTCTTGACTTTGTCTGCCCACGGTTGGTACTATCAAAGAACCCTCACTGCTGGTTCCCAGAACTGCCCCTACTTGTTCCTCTCCCCCCGTCCCCCGTTTCTATCTTATCCGCGCTCCCGTCTGTCAAAGCCAAACGCACGCTGTCCGAACCCCTCTGTGCTTACGACGCTGGTCCTTGAGTATACACACACTCCCACCTCCTTTCGAAATCTCCCTGGGTAAGAGGACAGGATACCCATGCCGTCACTGGGGGAATTGCACAATGACGAGACGTGTCTTCTCCGGACGGTGATGTTCGTTGTACACC